TGCTGTGTTCATCCAGCTGTACACCTTGTTATCTCAGATTCTCCAGCATCTGCAGTTCCTACTACCCCTATACCTCACAGGGTTCATCTCCAAAGTATACTCCCCACAAGCTTTCCATTAACCCTTCAGATCCCTTGAATGGGGACACCAACCCCAGACTCTTACAAATGTTTCTCAAATTCGAACTGGTGATGGATAGCTTCAATCAGAAGACATTTGACATTTTCCTCCATGCACTCAAGGAGGTAGTGAAGCTCATTTTGTACAATGTGTGGAGGTTTAAACAGTGGTTCAAACAATGGTTCCGATAGCTTGCAACCCACTCGGATTCTTGCCACGTAATCCTTGATAGAGTGAAATCATTACATTGCAACAATACCCTGCAGCTTCAAGTTCCATTTGATTAACTTTATCTTTGTACCAATTATAAAAATCAACATTCCTCATTTTAGGGAGATTGTGGTTATCAGTTAACTTTACGCATATTAGCCAAAAGGTGAGGAAAGCCCATTGACCTCAACCTTGTCGAAAAAAAATCACTTTTGTGATGAATACTGAGTAAAAACAAATGTGATGTTACCCACAATCATTTGGTGAATGTTACTTTCCATGAGACAGACTAAATAAAGTTGTTCCACAGTCACCTTATGCCTGGACCGTGCAATTACACTATGGCAGTTGACATGAAACAAAAATAGCAAATATTCACCTTGCAATTTTAAATGTTGGTACAAAATTTTAAACCAAAAAAAAAAAGGACAGCACCAAGAAAGTATGTGGGCAAAATATGTTTTGTATTGCACAAGATTTAATACTTCAGGTCTGTTAAAATGTGATACTTTAAATGTTTTATATTCAACAGAACTTCCATTGGATAATGAAGATTCACACTGGATTAGAAGGTAAGCAGCTTTCCTCATTGGAGAGAAGAGTACTAGAGTTACAGGTCATTATTTGTCTGATGCAATAAATTTAAAAAAAACACACACTCAGGAGTTTAATACAAGTTTCAAAGTCTTAAATTTGACAAAATCCATTTTATAATGCTCAGATATTAAATGAGGGCAGTCATACAATGTTGTCTAAGACAATTAGTGGATATTAAGCGCTATCATATTTACATTTTCTGAAATGTTTATACAAGGAGTCTTTACACATTAAGAACAGGATTTCTAATTAACAGGTGCAGAAACCCTTCATTGTGAAATACCACTTCATATTCTCATACATGTCCTAAAAGCAAGGATTTTATTGACATGAGTCTTAATAAATGATTTAGTTACATTAAGGTGTCACATTTCAAAAAAAAAAGAAAGATTACAGATGAATTGCTAATTTTTTTTTTGGGGGGGGGGTATGTTGGCAAGGAAGATCACATGAACAGGTTTGCAGCAAACACAAAATAAGAGAGGTGAAATTAAAGTGAGTGTGAGACCAGAGTGTTGGCATTGTATGGATAGTACCAAAGATCCAGAGAGATTGTGATATGCAGGATATCAAGGAAAGGATAGAGCTGCAATGACATAAACAAGGTTCTCTGAAAGAAAAAGAACAAAGAATAACCACTTATCTTCAGTTGCTTATTGACAATCTTTACCCCGAAGTATGCTCCAGTCTACTTGTCAAGACTCCAGCGCGTGTTGGTGTTGATGCTAAACGGATTTCAAGCCCAAAGTTAAAATTGTTCAACAACAGATAATTCTCTGGGGTGGTGCAGCAAGTGACAGAATCAAGCTCACAGCATTTGGTACTGACCAAGCTGAGATGAAGATGATCAACATGGGCTGAATGTTTAGGCACTTCCTTGTGACAAAACGAGAATTATTTCCACAACTTCCTCAAGTAAGATTTCCCAGTAAATTTATCTCTGTTCCTTCCTGAGGCTGAAATATTCCCTGCAATGTGTTGTCCAGAGTGGGGGCACAGAACACCCACTAAAGATAACCAACAAGCTACCTGTGGGCACTATTTCATTTCGCTGGGATTTGGCTCCAAGCTTCTCAGCTCACCTTGACTCATTTTAAAAACAAATGTTCACTGGGACTTGCACATGGTTCAATCCACTCAATCACATTAAATTTTCACAAAAAAAAAAGTTTAAAAATTTTCAGTTGGAAATGCTAATCTTCACATTTTCAATAAGAGATTGCTGTCCTTAGCAATGCTCAAACACATACAATTAGATCACTAAAGCATTGTTTCTGTTATACTGTTTTATGCAGCAACAGCTACAATTTTTCTGTTAAACTACTAGAAGTGTGACTGCAAACATTTAATCAAACTGCTTTTTATTCTGCAAATCGAATGCAACGCATCTCTTGTTGATCCATTGGCCCTAAAGGAATAAGGCAAGTATAATGGTTTATTGTCTCTAAAGTAACAGAACTCTTCCTTCACTATAAATGGGCTCTATGCTCCAGATTAGAGACACCTTTATAATTAGTCTTCATAGCAGTGACTAGCAATTGAAAGGAAGGACTGAGGGACCAAACCCTGAGGAGTACAAACCTCAATACCTTGACTACTTGCATAATTATGCAGTTTGAGCATACAGGATATTCAGCATTTATCAGTGTCTTCCCAAGAATATTCAGAACTCTCTCCTTGATCAGCAATTTCAACTAATAGAATTTGAGCACTCATCTCCACTCACAGAGCAAGATTCATCACCAAATTTGCTTGATGTCTCTATTTCCATCACAATATTGGAGGTTAGGGTCCAGGGAGCAAATAGACTGGATCAAATGTTTATTTGAACACCACTCTTAACCGCATTGCATCACATCCAGTGAGTAAACAGTCAGTGTGGCTGAAGAGGTCTCCTCCCCCAGTGCATTCATCGCCTTGCATGTATAATACCCTGAGTCCATCTGAGTGACATTCATAATTATTAGTGAGCAGCTCCCATCCTCTTGGTAGTCGATCTGGAAGTGTGAAGACTCTGTGATTGGATCCTCATTTTTATACCAAATCACTTCAGGGTCCGGGTAACCTGTGGTCGGGGAAGAAAAAATAAAATACAGGATGACAGACTTCAAAAAAGGAATCTACTATTTTTCCAGGTCAAGTATAAAAAGATAATGCTTTAGTTTCAGGGATCTTTGAAGTACATGTCACTTAAACACCCTGTATATAAATGGCTCTGCTCCCCCTCACTCACTTATAAAGCTAGAGCATAGTATTGAATGGAATGATACATTATGTAGTATAACAGTGTTATAGTGTTATTTATGATATTATTCAGTAACTAGGGGGTTACAATTTCAAGATTGTCAGCGAGAGAGTTAGGAGTGAGATGAGAAGAAGCTTCTTTACTCAGTTGTTAGGATTTGGAATGTGCTGCCTGAGAGAGTGGTGGAGGCAGATTCCATGGGAGGTTGCAAAAAGAGAGAGAGTTGGATATATATTTGAAAGTGATGAATTTAAGAGGGCAAAAAGGAGACAGAGCTAGAGAATGGGACGAGCTAGGTAGCTCTTTCAGGAGCTGGTACAGAAAATGATGGATTGAATGCCCTCCTTCTGTACTGTAAAATTCTATGATTCTACAATTGCATGTTGCAGCCCAAGATGACAGACAGCGTCATTTGCTTTTGCATAGCACTTTATGTTATGTTTCAGAACCGTTCGAAAATGCTTCACAACGAATTTCTCTTGAAGTGAGGTGATTAATGCAGGCAAATGGGGCAACCATGTACAGAGTCAGACCCCACAAACAACAGTTGGAGTTTAGTATTTGATGTAGGGTGGGGGGAATAAACTTGATTATTTCAGAGAATTCCTTGGTGTTCATCTCAGTTATTGTCATGGGCTGGGAACATGGAGCAACAGAAATAATAGGAAACTTCAGAACAAGTGTATTTCCCCTTTAAAATCACCAAGCTACCTGTACAAAGTATTGAAATGATGCTTAACCTCCTCACTAATGAGGAAGGTCAAGCTAATGGTTTAGTCTCCAATTATTGTTGATCAATACTCCCAATGATGCTCACCTTCAATACGACACTGCAGACAGGATGCACTGCCTTCCAGTTCCTCCAAGTCCTTCAAAGTTTTACTGAAAAATGGTTTCCTCTGAATTTGCTCATCCAGGGAGGAGAGCACCTCCTGTTGGTGCGTTGGGCTCAATACTGGGAAAGGATAACAATAAAGAACATGATTGTTGATATCCACTGTACAACGACAGCCAAGAACTCCAGTCTATCCCTTGAGAGTTGATTTTCCACTCCCACCCACATTCTGTTCATGATATACAAACACAGTTGGCTGTTTGCCCATCCTCATTGCCCTGGAGGTGATGTTGGTGAGCTGCCTTCTTGTACCACTGCAGTCCTTGTGGTGTGCGTACTCCCTCAATGCCAGCATGGTCATCCCTGTACAGGTGAGGTAGACAGATCGGTGGAGGTGTGTTGGAAAACGGAGTTCCTGACATTTTTCCAGTATTTCCTCCATTGCGTGAATCCTTATTTAATCATTGGCACAGCAGTACCTGCTTACCCCCCCAACCATAAACAATTTCTAGTAAACAAGACCAAAGGAAGGTGGTAAGAAAGGCTTCACAAACTAATGTCAAAGAACCATATGGATCCTAGTGTTTAGGAAAATAAAAATTCCACTTCCGAAAAGAATAAGAACTGGCATTCAGATAAAAAGGTGGTGTACAAATGGGGAATGATTATCCTGATGGCCATTCACCAGAAGGAATCAAATGGGTGGCTGACAATACAAACAAAAAAAAAGTGTGAAGTGATTCGACCTTCCAAAATGAATTTGAATGCAGAATACAGGGTTAATGGCAGGATTCTCGGCAGTGTGGAGGAACAGACGGATCTTGGTTTCCACATCCATAGATCCCTCAGAGTTGCGATCCTAGTTGATAGGGTTGTAAAGAAGGTGCAAGTGTGTTGGCTTTCATTGGCAGGTGAATTGATTTAAGGAGACGTGAGATTATGCTGCAGCTCTATAAAACTCTGGTTAGACCACACTTGGAATATTGTGTTCAGTTCTGGTCACCTCATTACAGGAAAGATGTGGAAGCTTTATAGAGGGTGCAGAGATTTACCAAGATGCTGCCTGGACTGGAGGGCAGGTCTTATGACGAAAGGTTGAGGGAGCTAAGGCTTTTCTCATTGGAGCGAAGAAGGATGAGAGGTGACTTGATAGAGGTTTACAAGATGATGTGAGGCATAGATAGAGTGGATAGTCAGAGACTTTTTCCCAGGGTGGAAATGACTATTATGAGGGGGCATAATTTTAAAGGTGATTGGAGGGAGGTATAGGGGAGATGTCAGAGGTAGGTTCTTTACACAAAGTGGTGGGAGTGTGGAACGCGCTGCCGGCAGTGGTAGTGGAGTCAGATACTAGAGACTTTTAAGCGACTCTTGGATAGGCACATGGTGGATAGTAAAATGTAGGGTATGCAGGCTAGATTGATCTTAGTAGGATAATAGGTCATCGTGGGCCGAAGGGCTTGTTCCCTGTTCAAACTACCAGCCCCTAGAAAATGGGTATAGTACCAAGATTGGAGTCAGAGGACAGTCCTTGTAATAAGTGAGCAGTCTTCTTCAGACAGAAGATGGGCCAGATGAGATAGAGGGAAGACCCCAGGAAAAGTTCCCCAAAAGCTGGAGAGCAGGATACTGTCTCCACAACCTGAAGGGATTGACAACACTGTCAGTTCCCTGTTTGTTCCCTTCAATTGTCAGTTGTATTTTTTTTTGTCTACCTAATGTACATCTAAACTATTGCGTCAGAACAAACCACCTGGAAATTTCTTACTAACTGCTTATATTAGGTAAGTGTGGTCACCAACCCTAAAAATCTAACAAGAGCCAGACCTGCTACCCTGCAATCAGTTTGTTTCATAGCTCAGTAGTGAACTGATTAATGGTGTAGAGAGCGCGAGTGCGAGCGCGAGCACGAGCACGAGCGAGAGAAACAGCTGGAAGTGAGGTGATAGGAACAGGCTGTGTTGAATGAAATCGCTGGGATTGAGGCCCACAGGAAGTGTCCAGGAGCCAGATCTGAGTGTCACATTAGGGGAAGGGACAAACCTCAGGAGTACCTCCAAAAAAAAAAAAAAAAAGTTATATACAAGGCCAGATTCATAGAAGTGTAATGGTTTGTATTATCTGAATGACCAAATTATGAGTAATTGACTGACAAAACAGTGACGGCCTAAACATGGAATTCACCAGTTTTAAAACCTCCCCACACCCCCTAGCCTCATCCCATGACCAACCCTCTCACGCTGCCTCCTTGACTTGACAAGGTGTCCAATTTCTCTCCCACCTACCCCATCCCTCCCATCTCACTGATCAATCCCCACCACTCCCTACCTGCACTCACCTATCACCAACTAAATAGAGAGGGGGTGGGGCTGGGGAAGGTAGGTGGGATGATCTCCCTTCCCCCTCCCCATTTCTGAAGGGTCCCGACCTGAAACATCAGCTTTCCTGCTCCTCTGATGCTGCCTGGCCTGCTGTGTTCCTCCAGCTCCACACTGTTATCTCAGACTCCAGCATCGGCAGTCCTTTGTGTCCTCAAACAGTGGTTGTAATGTATATCGTACTGAAGCCTGGACTTATTATCTTTATAAATGGTGGCATAAAGTACGGAAGAAAATGATTTTTTGCTGAGCTTACATAAAACACTAAACATGGTTTCAAATTCTGGCCACCAGAAAGATAGGAAGGCTTTGTAGAAGAGTTTAGAAATTAGGAGACCAGCTCCAAGGCTGAACAATTATCCAGACACTGACGTTGTTTCCCCTTACAGCCAAGGTGGCTGAGGAGATTTGATGGAGCTGTGTAAAAAAAAAAAAATTAAGAAAGTATTTAGATAGAATAAACAAACACTTTCCAGGGGCTGAAGGACAAAAAAAAAAAAAATCAGATGGCCCAGATTTAACTTAATTTGTTTGTATGGATTGCCAGAAGAACCAGGAGGGGAGAGGAGAGGGAAAAAAAACCTTTACACCAAAGGCTAGGATTTGGAATGCACTCTCTCCTGATACTGAGTGCCATCCAGATAGTTCCACTGAAGATCAGTAGATCCATGGTTGTGTAGGAAAGAGTAACAGCTCTTTCCAAGAGGAACTCAATGGCTTACCATTTTTGTCTTGAGAAGTGGGTGCAGATTCTGCATTGTCTGGTTTGTTCAATGGCAAGGCTAGTCTCTTGAGGGCAAGAAGTGCCTTCCCAGCTTTCTAAAATTTAAAACAAAATAATTTTAGATATTTTCTCTTCAAGAAAGATTAAAAGTCACTACAGGAGCACAAGCAGATCCAATTTTAAATAAAACAGAACCAGAAAATCTCATAGTACAGCAAGTGAGCACTTGCCTTATTGTGCTTGTGTGGGCTCGATGATAGAACGACCCAGTTACTCTCACTGCCCTGCTCTTTGTCCAAACCCTCCAGTTTTTGTCCTTTTTAATGGCCATTCAATATCTTTGACATTTACTATTAAATCCACTTCACTGTCTTTTTGGCAGTGCCTTCCTGTTCTTAGCCGAGAAAACATTTATCTCCTCTTGCACTTTTGCCAAATATCTTAAACCCGTCATGTTTACTTATCAACCATCCTGCCCGGGTAGAAAGCTTTATGTATTTTGATCAATAGCCAGCATAACGTGATTAATTCTGTGATCACATTTGAATTCAAAAACAGTACATAAGCAGGAGATTAAATAGAACCAAGTAGATGTAATATATTTAGTATGCCAAAAGGTGTTCTTGGAGTCAGAGATATACAGCACAGAAAGAGACGCTTCGGTCCAACTCGTCCGTGCCGACCTATCCTCAGTAATCTAGTCCCATTTGCTAGCATTTGGCTTATATCCCTTTAAACCCTTCCTATTCATGTACCCATCCAGATGCTTTTTAAATGTTGTAATTGTATCTGCTTCTACCACTTCCTCTGGCAGCTCATTCCACATGTGCACCACCCTCTGCGTGAAAAAGCTGCCCCATAGATCCTTTTAAAACCTTTCCCCTCTCACCTTAAACCAATACCAATCGAGTTTTGGACTCTCTCCTCCTTCCCTCCCCCCGGAAAACTACCTTGTCTATTTACCTTATCCATGCCCCTCATGATTTTATAAACCTCCACAGGGTCACCCCTCCGCTTCCAGCACTACAGGGAAAACAGCTGTAGCTTATTCAGCCTCTCCCTATAGCTCAAACCCTCCAACCCTGGCAACATTCTTATAAACCTTTTCTGAACCCTTTCAAGTCTCACAACATCCTTCTACAACAGGGAGACCAGAATTGCACACAGAATTCCAAGTGACCTAACCAGTGTCCTGTACAGCTGCAACATGACTTCCAAACTCCTATACTCAATGCATAACCAATAAAGGCAAGCATACCAAATGCCTTCATCACTATCCTGTCTACCTGTGATTCCACCTTCAAGGAACTATGAACCTGCACTCCAAGGTCTGTTTGTTCAGCAACTGATAAGAGGTACCACATGTCAAGCTACTCAAGGTAAGAGTCCATGATGTTGGAACTAATGCATTAGCATGGATATAGCATTGGCTAATTAAATGGAAGATGGAAAATTGGGAGGAAGGGGATACTTTCAGGATGGCAACCTGTAAATAACAGTGCCAGTGATCAGTGCTGCAGCCACAGTTATTTACAATAGATTTCATGACTTGGATGAAGGGACTACCACCAGGTTTGGAGATTACACAAAAATAGGTGGGAAGGGGAGGGTAAGAGATATAAAAGGCCGGTTAAGCAAATGACAAAAACCTGGCAGACAGAACATTTTGTGAGAAAGTGTGAAGTTATGTACGTTGGCAGGAAGATTAGAAGAGATGAATATTAGTTAAATAGGAAAAGACTGCAGAAAGCTGCAGCAGAGGCATTTGGGGAGCCTCATGCATGAATTTCAAGAAACTATCGAAGTTCAGTGGGTAATGAGGAAGGCAAATGGGCTGACAGCCTTTATTTCAACAGAAAGGAGTGCACACAAATACAAAGTCTTTGCTAAAAATTATACAAGGCAAAATAAAACTACAATCTAGAATTGTGTGAACACTTTTGGTTACCTTATGTAAGAAATACTCCTGTTGGAGACAGTCCAGAAAAAAGGTCACTAGGTCTTTTCCAGGTTACGGAGGGTTTGTCTAATGTTGAGCGACTGGGTCAGTCTTGTACTCAGTGAAGTTTGGAAAAAGGGAGAAGACACCGAATTGAAACATATAAAGACACTTCAGAGGCTTGACAGGGTCGATGAGGTGAAATGTTTCCCTTGGAATGAGTGTCTAGAACCAGAAGCAGTCACAGAGTAGCCACATAACCTGCTCATTATACACGTTTGCTACCAGGTGAATAAAATCCCTAAACTACCTCCTTACTTCAGGATTTTTAAGAAACTTGTATTTTCTTTCTTTCCAGTCCTTCAGAGTTTGCAATTTATCATGATCAGTTTAGTGAAAACTTCAAATTGGTCACATTAAAATCTTTTGCGAAGAAAGAAAGACTCAGCTGTTCAATGCTTTTCCAGAGCTTAAGTTTCTGATTCCCACATTAGTTCTCCATTTTGTTCCATCATTATTACTATTTAGCATTTCATGACAACACAGGGACAGGCAACTCGACAGCAACTTTATAAATCACTGCTTACGTTCAGAACCAGCCTCCTCCCAGCTTATTCTACATCATGCCCTCCCCCCATGGGGCTGTGAGTTCAATGTCCTCACCATTCAAGTTCTTTCTAAACCTATTCTTATTTATTAGTGATTTTTTGGATTATACTATTTTTGGATTATACGACAAGTGAGGGGAGTTGACAGGCCAGGGAATGCCTCACCATATTTCAATGAGTAGAGGCCAAACAAACAATCTTGACTTGACTGGCGCAGTCCTTACCTTCCATTTCTGCTTAGCTAGGAACCGTTTCATTCTCTCTTTTGACAGCGTCTTAGCAACTCCCTGCTCTGTGCTCTGTAGCCATGGATGGTTGAGGCACTCCTCACAGGTTAACCGTCTCCTAAATGCAGGCAAAAACAAAGTAGGCCTATAAAAATACCTTTAACCATAAAATGGTGAGGCACTGAATGGGTTTCAGCTATTTACTGCCAACATTAACGAGGGTCTGACTGTAATCTATCCCAGTTCACTGTACAGAATGAAGACAGCATGTAAACAATGTGTAGGACACAAAGGGACTTGCACAGGTTAAGCGAGCAGTAACATGTTATATTCTAGCTGCTACATGTAGAAGTGTAAAGTTATCCAATTTGGTAGGAAAACAAAAAAAAAAAAAAACTAGTTTTTTTGTTTAATAGTGATGAGATAACAGTTAATGTCAGTGTCAAAAGATGGCTACTATCCCACGTATCATACTCAGAGATAATAAGAACTGCCAATGCTGGAGTCAGAGATAACAGTGTGGAACTGGAGGAACACAGCAGGTCAGGCAGAGGAGCAGGAAAGCTGACTTTTGGGTTGGGACCCTTCTTCAGAAGCTTTCCTGCTTCTCTGATGCTGCCTGGCCTGCTGTGTTCCTCCAGCTCCACACTGTTATCCCATGTATCATATCAAGTTAACATGGAGGTGCAGCAGGCAGTTGCAACAATTTTCTGCAGTGCTTCATAAGATCAGACAAAATGTGATAGAGACAGATAGGGAGGTGTTGGGGAAGGTAATTAGAGGCTAGGAGAGCTAGCTTAAATAGGAGGAAAGTGAAGAGGGAATTCTAGTGTTAAGGACTTGTGGCCAAGGCAATTGAAGGCAATCATGGAGTGATTAAGATCAGGCTGGTCATGAGGCCAGAATTGGACAAGTGCAGATATCTTAGAAGGCTGTCTGGTCGAAGGAGACTACAAAGACCCTTGAGGGATTTGAAAACCAAGAAAGGAGAATTTTAAAATGGAGGCTCTGCTTGGCAGAGTGCCAATGCAGGTCAGTGTACAGGGGTGAAAGTTGAACCAATTTTTGATAGGAGTTGAGACACAGGTAACCAAGATGTAGATGATGGTAAATCTATGGAGACCAACCAGGAATCGACCAAATGGCCTAGTGGGAGCGATGGCATTAAAAAAAAACAAACAAAAACAAAGAGAGGAAAAAGGTTTCAGTAGCAAATGAGCCAAGACAAGGGTTGATTTGGACAAAAAAAGTTACCAAGCGAAAGTAGACACTTTTATTGATGGCAGAGATGTATGGTTGGATGCTTTTCTCAGGGTCAAATATGACACCAAGGTTGCAACCCAGTCTGGTTCAGCATTGGGCACTTTACAGACAGGAGAATGGAGGTCATGGGGAGCTAGATGAATCTGGGGCAAGGATCCAAGGCAAAGACTTTGATTTTCACAATATGCACAAGGAAGACATTTCTGCTCATCCAGGACTCGACAAGCTGAGCAGTCGGATCACTTAAAAGGCAGTGAAGGAGGTCAGGAGGTCAGAAAGGTGGAGTTGATAAGGAGGTCCAGATGGTGTTAAAATGCACATGGAAACAAAGCTAGTTTTAGATGACACCAAGATGCAGCAGGTGAAGAGAAACAGGAAAGGGACAAATAGAGATCCTTGAAGGATACCAGAGGAAGCGGTGTGACAGGAGAAGCTACTGAAGGTAACTTTCCAGCTAGGACCAAACAAACAGAGTTCAAAACAGGACCAGTTGAATTTCCAGCTGCCAAGGACTGCAATGATGGAGGAGTTGGAAAAGGCTAATGTGGCAAAGGCTACAAACAGGACAAGACGATTGAAGGCAACAAAAACAAAAGTTGCTGGAAAAGCTCAGCAGGTCTGGCAGCATCTGTGAAGTTGTGAGGAAGGGTCACTAGGCCTGAAACGTTAACTGTTTTGTCCTTCACAGATGCTGCCAGACCTGCTGGGCTTTTCCAGCAACTTCTGTTTTTGTTCCCGATTTACAGCATCCACAGCTCTTTTGATTTTTATTTATGATTGAGGGTAACTTCCTCATTGTCACAGTCACATCGAATGTCATTTGCGAGTTTGTTAAAAGATCATTTTGGGATGGTGGCAGGGAAAGAAAGCTGATTGGAGGCATTCAAACAAGGAGTCCAGTGGTATGTTATTACAAAGGGATTAAGTATTACAATGAAGACATAATGTACATGTCTTTTGTGATCAACTTGAAATTATTTGTAAAAACCAAAAGAACTGCAGATACTGTAAATCAGGAACAAAAACAGAAGTTGTTGAAAAGGCTCCAGGTTTGGCAGCATCTGTGGAGTGGGGGGGGGGG